GTAGGATTTATGTATTCTTCCCTAGGATCTATCTCTTTTCCATTCTAAAAACTAATGGTACCCATTGCAGCCCAAACCTAAAAGCCTAACTACCAACTGATATACCAAACGTTTTTTACCAAGGTTCAATCAAATTATTCAACTTTCAAGTTGGAAGTGGCAACTTTGAAATTTAATATTTCATTCAATTTTCAATGGTTTTTGATAAATAAATATATTATGTTAATCATCTCGCGGAGTTAAATATGAATATACTTGGTCCTGTTAGTTTCGAAGTTCGAGTCCACTTAATTTTGAGGTCAAAGTTGCCAAAAATTACAATTTCTAAAAACCATTTCCAATAGAAAATTGATTCTGAATCTTTAGCACAATTCGTATATTTTGAAAGAAATTAAATGTTGAATTGAATATATATATTTAGATAATAACAAGTGAAATGTTTGATTAATTGCTTAATGTATCTCCTACTCTTGTGTGAATTTGACCCGCTTCCGACTCTTTCTCACTTTGAACTTCCTATAAACTTTTTATTAATAGACTTTGGAAGGGTCAACGGAACTTTCAAGACTCGTAAAATATTACTCAACTATAAATTATTCATTTTCACATGTTTATAACTTAAATCGGTCTAATAACCATTCGAAAACATATCTGCGCACAGTGATGCCAAACCATTTAACCTAGTCCGGCCTCGAGAGACAGTAATATTAATACACACAGCACTATTAGTGGGTTCTCTTCGGACTTCGGAGAGCATCTATAGAGAAATCAAAGCCTGCTTAAGCCATGATAAGCAGCGAAGCGAAGGGAGGCATATTGGATAGGCTGTCACAGCTCGAGGACCTGTACTTCCCTCGCGCGGTACAATCCTCCGCAGCCACTCCCTCCCAACGCAAGTCCCTCCTCCTCGACCTCCTTTCTCGCGATGTCGCCGTTTTCTTAGGTACCCGCTTTCTCTTAATCTGATTTGAATTGGTTCCTAGTATATGCTTATTTATGCACGTATGTATGTGTGTATGCCTGTAACTGTCTTTTTAAGTAATTGGGTATGTGTTTTTGTTCATAGATATGTTGAAAGTGATGAATTATTCAAAGTCCCTTCAAATCTATTTTATAATTTTTGAGTTTTCCTTCGTCTTATTCTTCGTCTGAGTGTTATTGTTGAAGTTAGATATGGATAGCGAGGTCCCCTTTTATGTTTATGGACAATTCATATGATGTATTTTCATGTGCTTAGATTATATTTAACTCGTTCCCACGATTAAGAGGGAATTGCTTGATGCACTGCACATTGCATTTGATTGTGGACATATTCTGTTTTGATTAAATTCACACGCAAACACGGATTGCTTCAAAAGTTCATAAATTTCTGATTTTTGCTCTAATCCTGTACTTAATTTGATGAATTTAGAGCGGTATGGATCAAAATTATCCCTTGAGGAACTCAAAGAATTTGATGTGTTGAAAGATGATTACGAAATCAATTGGCATTTAAATCGGCTAAGGAGTGTCATCAGTCCAACTGAGGAGGAAAAGAAGTCTAAGTCTGCAAAGATCAGGAATCGAAGGCTAGCATATATGGATAACTTAATGGCAGGTAGGCAATACTTTTCTGAGGATGCAATGAGGGAGAGAGAGCCCTATTTGCATCATGAGTATGTGGGAAAATTTCAGGACCTGAGTGGAAGGAGCATGGCAAGGCCTGGGGAGCGGTGGTCGGAGACGTTGATGAGGCGATCTGAGGAGGCCATATTAGTGGAGAAAATTAGGGTGGAGCAGCAACGATTGGGTGTGGCTCAGAGTGATTGGGTTGGAATTGAAAGAGAAAGGCAAGAAGAAGAAGAGGAAGAAGAGGAGGAAGAAGAAGAAGAGGAAGAGGAAGAAGAAGAGGAAGAAGAAGAAGGTGGAGGTAAGGAGGAGATGGAGAAGGGAAGACAGGACTTGACAGTTGGCCTCGATACTAAAAACTCTAGGAGCTTTGAGGTAAAAAAGTTCTGTCTTTTGATCAATTCAATTTTGCATTCTTGGTTTCATATGCTCCTTTTCTTTGTATATGTTGATGCACAACCTTAAACAAATAAATCTGCCCCTTTCTGTTTTAGATTAATATAGGCAACCGGTTTTGCCAATTGTGATTCATAATTTTGGTAAAAGTTTCTATTATTGTTTCTTCCTGATTGTACTTGTCTTCACACGAGAGTTATGTTAAAATATGTTCTTTAATTATTATCCGAAACCTTGTTACTCATCAGACCATAGAGGTATTGAATGATATGGCCATCCTTATACTTAGGTGTTCACATATCTCTTTCACATGACAGGTGTGTTACCTTTTTGTTTCATGCATTGACACTGTGAAGAGAGCTCCTACTGCTCTTTAGTTTACTATAGGTAGCCCATGTTCGAGCCCCCATCCTTTAAAAACTCATTTTTTTTTCAAACTCATTTCCAACCGCACATTCTCCCAATAAAATAATTTTACATGTGACCAAAAGCTTTTCCCTACTTTTTAACAACACATTCTCTAAAAAATCACAATTCCAAATCTCGTGAAAAATGGGGCTTAAACAAACCCTTAATGTTGGATGTTTAGTATTGTTTCCTTCTGGATTTGTTGGTTAGTTTTTAAGTCAAATATTTTGAAACTGGGATATTTTTGCATGGCATATAGCTACGAAAATCCTGTAGTTGGTAGAAATAACTGTAACTTCTATTAATGTAAATAACCGTGGTACTCTCACTTGTATGTGTGCCAATCTTTTATTTGCCTTTTTAGGCTGAATATTTATTTTTCTTTTCAGAACGTCTATCTGTCTTCACCGCTGGAAAAAATAGTTGAAGTATTGAAAGGGGTACTATCAAAGCATATGACCTATAGAGAAGTAGTTGTTTTCGAATGTGATAGCGGCATCCATGGAGTCATCAGATTTGTTCTATTTGTCCTTCAATTAACACCCCTAGAAAAATAAGGAAAATTCTCAAGATCAATGTTTCCTTAATATATGCACTAATGTTTATATGCACTAACTAATGTCAATTTCTATGGATAGAAAGCTTTTCACAGACTCCTTCCATTCGTTAACCACAGACCGATTTCAGAAATCACTCCTTTTATCAACATACCGTGTTGGCGATCTTTAAATTCCATTTCCCTATTTGCACCCTCTCAAGTCCAAATTTCCTCAATGAGAGAAATGCTGATTTTTTAGTTATGAGCTGCCTTCTTGTAATCTGAAAAATGGGAAAAGAGTGATAAAAATAGCTTGACCTTCCAAAACAGAATTTTTATTTTGTCATCTCCATGTGAAGTATAGTGGATGGACTTTTTTTAGAGAACTATGTCATTTGACTCATTTATATTCGTAATATGATGCCAAACGTGTTTTGACTATTAAAATAGGTTGCATAAATGATGTGATTAGATTATTAGCTTTCTACATTCTTTGTTTGAACTATGGGCATCTTAGTGCGTCGTAGTGTAGGCAAAGAATAGATCCTCAGTCAGGCCATATCTATCATTTGGGTTCCTTTTTATATTGCTGCCTGGAGTGTTTAGAACTACCTCGACTAACTAGTGTAGTTGACTTAATATTGATTTGATACTCAGGATCCATGTAAGTTGCCAGATGGCATGGATTTTGTGATTGGTTCTCCCCTTCCCAATTTGTTATGAAGATCTTTTGGTTGCATTTAGGCTTCTTGACTTTTATATTGTTCTAGGAGTTCTGCGTCGTTTTACTGGAACAAAAGAAATGACAAAAAAATTCCTAGCTTTTGGCCATACCTTGAGCTGGAAATTATAGGATAACTGACTTCTAAAGGGAATCTGGGCAACTAGACTAGGGCCCATTTGGCAGGGAAAAGCCAAAATCTTTTTCCTAGGACTAAGAAGCTTCTCTTGAACTTGTTTGAATAATTTTCTGGAAGCGCTTGGTTAGAACAACTTTTAGAGGAAGCTTTTCTACAAAAACTATAAACAAAAGCAGAAGTCGTGCCAAACGGCCCTTAAGTAGCTATATTCATAGTTTCTTGTGAAGCTGGTTTTCAGCTTTTTTTCATTTTCTTTTTCTTTCCATGACATGCTGGATCCGTATAAAAAGAAATTAGAAACAATCCATTTTATGTGCTCCTTTTAAGCACGTATCAACTTCGTGAAAGCTAGAAAGAAGGTTGAAAATGGATATCCATAATTTATCGTTTTCAGTTATTGCAGCTGTTTTAAAATATGATCTTATAATTTTTAAGTTTACCAGCTACACTCGAATCATGGGGCCTACAACAATGGGCAATCTTCAACCGCAGAACCCATCGGAGAAGATAGTTCGTCACCTGAGGAGATGAAAGATCGGATGGAGCAATTCACCTATATCATGCAGCAAAAGTTTTTGGCAGGGGAAGATCATCAGCATCTGGACTACTCCAAAATTGACGAGGATGAGACCTTAGATGATCACTGGATGAAAGAAGTAAATCACGACGCTGAAGAAAAATACTTTGATGATATCTGAGAAGAATAGCTGCTACACAACTGGCTGGTGTCATATTTTCTATGTTTTCATATTATCAAGCCAGTAGAATTCACTTGTAATTATGTAGGTCTTGTTTTTGTTCATATAGTATCAAAAACCCAATTTTCTTTTGGAAAAACCACTGCTTGTGCCATTTTGTTCCTATTATGAATTGAGAAGCATATCTTTCTTTGAACACTCTGAATACTAAGCCTCTGGTCGGAAAGAATTTTTGTGTAAACTTCGTTATCAATGTTCAATAAGTTGCGAGTGGACGTGTTAGGAAAATATATCGCCCGAACCTGCTCTACATTCGTAATTTAAGCTCGTGTTTGTCCTTTATTTGATGAGGTAGACACTACATGGCTCTAAACGAGGATGGGTGCCTTAGCCGTCTCATTCTACAACTAAGAGACGAACGAAATCCAGAAAAAGCTCTCCAAATTGATATCCATTTTAGATATTAATAATTCAAATCCATGAATTTACTCACCCCTCAATTGGAAAAAGCCTAACAAATCTCTTATAATTAATAAATTAATTAATTGTGTAATATTTTCCTCAACCTAGCTGCCGCAACCATCCAATACTAATCCTAGACTCCTAGTTGAATAAGGAAATATGGGAGATACTCTCCTCTTTCCATAATTCAAAATCTGACTTTTATATATTTTGAGAGAGAACATAAATCTTCATTAGCAAATCCCACAATTTTCTTCTACATTTTAATTCACAATGAATTTCAAGACACCACCGCTGGATGATTACTGTCGTGCATGGCAGGCTTATGATCTCGATGTACCAAGAATCGGGCCAGGTGAAGAGGGTGATCATTTTCTCATCCAAGTTCACATGGAGAAAACTTATTTTCCGTTGGAGGAAGAAGAAGACGACGAAGAGAAGCCAGATTATCTACTCGATTATGACTGCTATACGAACATTTTGACATTTTGGGAACCTTGTGGGAGATTAGAGTGCAACAACTTGCCATCGAATAGAATCTCGTATATCCTTTGTGAGGTTGGAGTGCCATTGCATAGACAGGGTTTCATGTTGGACCGAATCTCGGACGAGGCTGATGAAATTGCCAATGCACCCTTCAACAAGTACAAGAAGATTTTGTCAATGATTGTTTCCATAAGTATAGTGGCTGAAGCCAATGAAGAACCGTCCTTCGAAGATTAGGGTTTTTCAAAGATTTTCTTACTTTTATTTGGGATTAATTCCTAGGGTTATATTTGTTTAAAGAACAATAATTAGGTCCCTTTGTCGCTTTGTTCATACTGAATAAACATCAAGGTTTCCAATCATTTTCTCGATATTCTTCATGATTTTTATGAATACAAGACATAATATAACAAAAAATATCTATATTATACCTAGAAATTGGGTGGCACCGAAGAGTCGATAAACCAACGAGATCAAACCGATTCACTAACCAAAACTAGAAGAATAGCCCAGTTTGAGAATATTAATTACTCTCAATATTAGCCAAGTCTCATAGGCCAAACTGAGGTATCAACGTCTAAAACTCGCGTAGCCCATAGAGTCTACATAAGAGATCAGCTCGACAAGACATGCTCTGCCCATTGGGGTGTCAAGTCCAACACGAGTATTATGACATGACTAGATAAAACCTAGCAAGACATGTTGCATCGTTTAATGAAACGAGTTCAAAGTTGACACACTGATTGTTGGTAGATAGTATATTGAAATGGGTGGAGGTCAGGGGTTGCGATAGATCCGCAATTCCCTTTTTCAAGGTTCTTATGGAGGAGTTGGTTGGTATTAGCTCTTGCGATCTTGGCGATATGGCATCATGTCCCAATTTCGGTCCCAATGAGCTTGAAACCCTCAGCATTAGCATCTGCTTCCTCCAATGCAGGCATGTCAACATCAGCCATTCAGCCTCTGAGCCTCATGAGCTTCATCCTCATAAATGCTCAAACCAAGTTTAAGCATTCGGTGAATCCTATTGCCAAAGGTGTTTGGTCCCTCAAGGCTGAATCCGAAAGTAAGCAGAGTAGTCTCGAACAGCAACAGAACCAAATCCTTTACAGACTTGTCATTCTTGTCAGCATCAGCCCTCTTCCAAAGCTCTTCCAACAAAAACGAGATTGGGAATTCTTTAAGAGTGGTTGCCCCTCTTTGTTAAATCGATGATTTCCCCCACTAAATTGACAACCACCCTTGAGAAATTGGAAACATCCAACTTATCCATGGAAAATGGGAATATAATTACCTATTATT